TCTGAAAACTCTTAACGTTTGTTTTCCAAAAGTAACAGGGAGAATGTTTTCTACTGTGTTCCTGAATGGAGCTGAACCAAAAATCTGAGTAGCGGAACACCAGCTGCTACATCACACCCCAAATGGAGGGTTATAAATGCTATAAATGGGGGGTTATAAATGTTAATGCCTGAGACTGTGGATAAATAAAAAAGGCTCAAGTATGGCACTTTATTTTTTGCAGAGGGAAGGAAAGAAAATATGCTAGTTTTCCCTCACTTCATTATCCTTGAAGAAATTTCATCTAAGAAAATTCTTCCATTTAGCACATTTGTTGCAACATGAGGGAAAAACCTGAATTCCAGAGAAAATGTTTACTTAATACTTTTAATTTTGTCCTTTCACTAGTCCCTCCCTTTTTCCTCCTCCTTTGGCTGTTTGCGTTTGTTAAGCCCCAGTAGATTTTTTTTTCTGGTTTTTCAATGAGTGGAACTAATCCTTACCTATTTTGCTGTACATTTCAATACCCAAGGAACACTTATAAACTGTTTTGTCTAGCTCAAATCACTTGAAAATGTAGTTAAAGTGTGTAGCTAAATATGCAGATTATGTTAATTTGGGGGGGTAGCCAGCCACATTAACCAATTAGTAAATTGGACTAATTGGAACATTTATCGTGACAGTTCAAAACAGAATTGAATGGAATAGTGGTTTGATCCAGTAATTGAGGGTCCATTCTGAATACCTCAGTCTGGGAATTCTCCCAACAGTACTTGGTTTTCCTTAGGCATAGAAAGCGCCACGTTTTTCGCAGTTTCAGTTAGCTTGCCATGTAATTAAATCGATAGGCATTCAGTGCACTCTATGGCTTCAGTTTAGAAGTGAGTGCAGCTCAGGAAGAGATCGTAAGTCTAGGTGTCATCCATTTAGGTACATTTACCAATGTTGAGTCACATCAAAAGGTAAGTGAGTATAGCACAGGAAACTCCACTCAATATTTTGTAATGATCTTTATGGGAAAGAATCTGAAAAAGAAAGGATCTATGTATATGTTAAATGAATCACTTTACTGTACCCCTGAAACTTACACAACATTGTAAGTCAATTATACTCCAAGGTAAACTAAAAATTAACTGTAAAAAAGGTAAGTTAGATAGGCCCCCACTAAAACCCTTCTATCTTTGTTATTGCCCTTCTCAGCTGTAGCTTCTTAGATTTGGACTGTTACTTGGGTCTATTTGATAAATGTTCTTCCCCAGGCAGCTGTTGTGAAAGAATATAACACCACATGTCTAAGGACATTAAGCACTCAATGGCCTGATGAACATGAGATGATTGCTCAAATATCTCAATGTATTTGAATTTTAAAAAAAGCAAAGCAATTGGCTGCTTAAACTTGGCTATTATTCAGAGTCAGCAAACAGGAAATAATTAAAATATGGCGTTTTTACTAGTAACCAAGGAAGAAATTGAATGAATTCCAAGTTGTTACAGTTTGTCATTGGCTTCATTTCATGACACACACTCCCCTTTTCATTCACAGTACATGTGCTTATTTTTAAAAATTGAAAGTAGGTCTGAATTAATTCTCAATTTAAAATTTAGGCAAAAAATTACAACTCAACATCACTGGACATGCCTGAGATTGATGTAAAGCTAGGAACAAGCATAAATAACTCTATAAATAGGTGCTTGAGGGCATATAATAATAGTCCAATATTCCTTTTGCACTGAGGGAGAAATGGTGATCTTTTCGAGTGTTTTACATTCCAATGTGTAAATTTTGTGGAAAAGTTTATTTTCTCTGTTCTATTTGGAAGAATTGTCCTTGGCCATTTTTCCTTGAACTTGCTTTTAAAATCTGTGCATAAAATTGATTTTTAGAATTAATAGACTTAATCTGAAATCAATGCTTTAGTTGTTTCAGAATTTATAGTGTAGTCAGGATTACATTACTTTTCTGAAAGGGAAAATAGAAATAGGCTAATTAGCTATCAAAATTAATTATTTTCCTCATTTTCTTTTCAAATTTTATTTTTATTCTTGGGTACTGTGCATAGATTGCTGTCCCATTGACTGCTACTAAGCAAATCTGAGTTAATACTGAGTCTGGTTCATTTCATTTAAAAAACAGTGCTTACATTTTCTTTTTTGAAACATTTATCACTGCTCAAAATTTAAGGACATATCCAAATTAAGAATTTCTGATTTTGTTTTTCATTGACAAACTCACCTTGTGCAAAAATAGGTAGAGACATGGATGTAGGGAACAGACATGTGGATGCGAGTGGGGAGGGAAAGGGAGGATGAATTAGGAGATTGGTATTGATATATATACACTATTATGTATAAAACAGATAACTAATGAGAACCTAATGTATAGAACAGGGAACTGCGCTCAACCCTCAGTGCTGACCTAGGTAGGTTTAGTCGCTCAGTCTGTGAACCCATAGACCGTAGCCTGCCGGGCTCCTTTGTCCGTTGAATTTTCCAAGCAAGAATTCTGGAGTAGATTGCCATTTCCTTCTCCAAATCTTCCCGGCCCAGGGATCAAACTCGGGTCTCCTGCATTGCAAGCAGACACTTTTTACCAACTGAGCCACCACGGAAGCACTGTGGTGACCTAAAAGGGAAGGAAATACAAAGAGGGGATATATGTATACATACAAATGATTCACTTTTCTGTACAGCAGGAATTAATAAAACATTGTAAAGTAATCATACTCCAAAAAATAAAAATATACTTATTCATGATTTTAAAACTCATGTTTCTGTCAAGAGGCATTCTTGACATAGTACCAATACATTTTAATAAATTAATCACCTTGTACATGCTATCAGGCATAAAGCATTATGAGTGGACTTTGACTAAGGTTGGTATAGAGTTGCTATAATCAGAAGCATGGCACAGAGCTTATAAAGTGCACAAGATGTTGTGCCAGAATGAGGACATTCATCCCATCATATTTTGATAAGTTAAAATTGAAGGCAAGGCAGAGAACAATAAAAAGTATGTTTGTTGTTTGCACATCACTAGCTGTGTGACCTGGATAAGTTATGTGCCTGTTCTGAGCCTCCTGTTCTCAAGAGAGGGGCAAGTAAATACCAGGGAAGTTTTTGTGAGGATTTACATGAGATAATTAATGTTAAGCACAAGATAGTACCTCACTGATGAATAGAAGTGTGAAGGAGAGAAGATGTAAAGGAAAAAATTTGATTGCCTTTGTTGGCTACAAGGACATATTCATGCATGCACACAAAATATTAGCCAAAGCACATGAACAGCTGTGTTCAGAACTCTGCACCATTAAATTATCTCCCAAGGCACTTCTGAATTTTAAGAAAACCAACCATCTTGCTAATTGAATGTTTACTAAAGAAACTTTGTTAATTTGTTAATTTTCTTTAATATTGATTCCATGTTAGAGTTAAGGATCTGTTCTGGGCAAAAATGTGTTTAGTACACTGCTCACATGTTCCTATTACAATAAAATCATTATTGGTTTTTGCAGCCTTTTGCATAGTATCAGTTATACTTATTATTTTTGACACCAAACCCTTGGTTAGGAAACAAACCCAATTCTAACATGTTTATAATTTGTTAAGTGTTTTCAAGAACTATTTTGATGTCCAATGTGTAAGCCCCTTGTGTCGGTCTGGCTTAAAGCAATCACTCCTGTGAAGCATGGCTCCAGGGGTTTCTTCCCGAGACACCTGGAGGTTTCCCAGGTGCTAGTGTCTGTAACTCATCAAGCCTTGCCCTCAGCACATCAATATTAGAGTCAAGAATAAAGCTGATCTATCCATTACCTTTCACTTGAAAAGAACTGGCACAGTCAGTTACAAACAATAAAATCTTTGACAAGATAAACACTAAGATTGCTAAGTGATATTGACAGTGGAAATCAAAATCATGAGAGAGTGAAAAATAATGTCATTTTTTTATGTCGTCTTGCAGCCAGACCTTTTCTACTTCCAGGGCAGAGTTGATTGGGTGTGTGTGTGTGTGTCACTGTAACTTGTAATAAGATTTGTGTGTGTGTGTGTCTCTGTTATACTACAACTTATAATAAGTTTTTTGGTGATTGCCAAGGTAATATTATGAAGAAAACTTTTATCTTTTCATCAGTGATGCTTGTCATGTACCACAAGGGTACAAGAAGATTAATTGTATTAGATTAACTTAATCTAATACATTTATACTTTTTTCTGTTTAATGTTGAACATATTTAACATAGATACCTAGTCATATATTCAGGGGAATGACTACTTAAAAGCAAATTTTGCACAAGTGCATAATCAAAAAAGTTCAAAGACCACTCTAGTAGACCTGAAGGGGAGAAACTCATTCCTTGTTTTGAGGTCATTTATCAAAAGAGAAAAGCAAGTAAAAGAAAGAAAAAATATTTCACTGTAGTATACATTTTATATTTTTAATTAAATACTTTTAATTAAGTTTCTTGTTGTTTCTGTGTTGTTTGAGGAACTTAAACTGTTTTTATAGTAGTTTCATTTGTGTCCTTTCATGTTACTTACCTTCATTAATACCTTCGGTGTAGCTGCAGAAGGCAAAGAGCAAGAGTGTTGTGTACTGGTGCCTGGGCATTGCTAGAGCATCATATACTTGGGAATATTTTGTTGACTGTCTCTTATTTTCATCATCATGTTAATGAGCTGTAATTAACTTTATTGAGATAATTGAGTATGTAATCATTTTAAGAGTTCATGTGTAATATATGAGCTTGGGCTTTTAGAATAAGTAGTTAAATGCTTCCTCTTGAAAGTGTGATGTGAATTACTTTCGCCTTAGGCTAATCTTGAAAGAAACCTCTCTTGATGATCTCCCTTGAAAAAGTTATTGGTCTTGGCTGGGTCCAAGGTAGAGTGTACTCTGCTAACTCTACTCCATGGTGAGATTAAATATGTCAAAACAAAATTTTTGATAGGGGGAATAGAGTTTTAGTAAAATTGAGATGTTATGATGTTAACAGAAATTAATTCAAATTTCATTTTCCTTTTAGTTCGCAGGAAGATGAAAGACCTATGTCACCTTTCTATTTGAGGTATTTATTTGATTTTTATTGGTCTGTTCCAGGGAATTGGGGGAGGGTTAAGAATTCTTTGGTTTTGTCTACATTAATTCTTCTCAATAGAATATTCTGTCCTGTAGCCAGACTAAGCTGATTAGAATCCCTTACCATAATGTTCATGCTATATTTTTCTCTCTTTTGTTTAAGAAATCTAAAAAAGTTTTAATATAGTTGAAAAGACTAAAATAAGATATTTGGTTTTAAATTCAAAGATGTCAAAGTAGTCATTTTAATTTTGAAATCTGCCTAATGATCAGGCTGTAACCTAAATTTTAAAAACTCCATTCTACACATATATGCAAGTAGGGAGGGCTTTGAGCCTAAGGCTCACTTGCTGAAGTAGTCTTAGGTGATGTCGGATCATTTTATATATGGTAGTAAAGTATGAAACTAATATTCAGCAAGTTCATGGAGTTCAGGATTATTTTCTAAAGTTTACAAAGTCAGAATGAAAACTCTTGAAACAGGTAAGTTTACATCAAAGTAGATGTTAGATGAGATCACTTCCCTCCAAACTAAAAAGTTTTTGCATTGATGTGATTATCAGTGAACCACCTCATTTAGGTAATGACCTGAAGCCAGGTTTTTCTTACGTTTGCATTTCTTTCCTCACTACCTACCTACCTCAAAGGCTTAGAAAATATATTTTAAAAAAATATGAATGTATAAATTCAACTTTAAATTGCTGAAGTTTTCCTTAACTTTTCCTCAGTTTTGTTTTTTGTTTTTTGTGTTTTTTTTCCATTTATTTTTATTAGTTGGAGGCTAATTACTTTACAGCATTGCAGTGGTTTTTGTCATACATTGAAATGAATTAGCCATGGATTTACATGTATTCCCCATCCCGGTCCCCCCTCCCACCTCCCTCTCCGCCCGATTCCTCTGGGTCTTCCCAGTGCACCAGGCCCGAGCACTTGTCTCATGCATCCAACCTGGGCTGGTGATCTGTTTCACCCTAGATAATATACATGTTTCGATGCTGTTCTCTTGAAACATCCCACCCTCGCCTTCTCCCACAGAGTCCCCAAGTCTGTTCTATACATCTGAGTCTCTTTTTCTGTTTTGCATATAGGGTTATCGTTACCATCTTTCTAAATTCCATATATATGTGTTAGTATACTGTAACGGCCTTTATCTTTCTGGCTTACTTCGCTCTGTATAATGGGCTCCAGTTTCATCCATCTCATTAGAACTGATTCAAATGAATTCTTTTTAATGGCTGAGTAATATTCCATGGTGTATATGTACCACAGCTTCCTCATCCATTCATCTGCTGATGGGCATCTAGGTTGCTTCCATGTCCTGGCTATTATAAACAGTGCTGCGATGAACATTGGGGTGCACGTGTCTCTTTCAGATCTGATTTCCTCGGTGTGTATGCCCAGAAGTGGGATTGCTGGGTCATATGGCAGTTCTATTTCCAGCTTTTTAAGAAATCTCCACACTGTTTTCCATAGTGGCTGTACTAATTTGCATTCCCACCAACAGTGTAAGAGGGTTCCCTTTTCTCCACACCCTCTCCAGCATTTATTGCTTGTAGACTTTTGGATAGCAGCCATCCTGACTGGCGTGTAATGGTACCTCATTGTGGTTTTGATTTGCATTTCTCTGATAACGAGTGATGTTGAGCATCTTTTCATGTGTTTTTTTGCCATCTGGATGTCTTCCTTGGAGAAATGTCTGTTTAGTTCTTTAGCCCATTTTTTGATTGGGTCATTTATTTTTCTGGAGTTGAGCTGGAGGAGTTGCTTGTATATTTTTGAGATTAATCCTTTGTCTGTTGCTTCATTTGCTATTATTTTCTCCCAGTCCTGAGGGCTGTCTTTTCACCTTGCTTATAGTTTCCTTTGTTGTGCAAAAGCTTTTAAGTTTCATTAGGTCCCATTTGTTTATTTTTGCTTTTGTTTCTAAAATTCTGGGATGTGGGTCATAGAGGATCCTGCTGTGATTTATGTCGGAGAGTGTTTTGCCTATGTTCTCCTCTAGGAGTTTTATAGTTTCTGGTCTTACATTTAGATCTTTAATCCATTTTGAGTTTATTTTTGTGTATGATGTTAGAAAGTGTTCTAGTTTCATTCTTTTACAGGTGGTTGACCAGTTTTCCCAGCACCACTTGTTAAAAAGGTTTTCTTTTTTCCATTGTATATCCTTGCCTCCTTTGTCGAAGATAAGGTGACCATAGGTTCGTAGATTTATCTCTGGGCTTTCTATTCGGTTCCATTGATCTATATTTCTGTCTTTGTGCCAGTACCATACTGTCTTGATGACTGTGGCTTTGTAGTAGAGTCTGAAGTCAGGCAGGTTGATTCCTCCAGTTCCATTCTTCTTTCTCAAGGTTACTTTGGCTATTTGAGGTTTTTTGTATTTCCATACAAATTGTGAAATTATTTGTTCTAGTTCTGTGAAAAATACCGTTGGTAGTTTGATAAACAAAAGCAAAAATAAACAAATGGGACCTAATGCTTTTGCTTTTAAGTAAGGGCAAATGAATGCTTAAATGTTTTAAATATATTTAAATAAATTTTTCTAACATCCTGTCTTCCATTCCTTTCTCTCCCACTTTATTATAATTCCTTTGCTGCAGTGTTAGGAACGGGGCATTATTGTATGACTAATGAATTTCATAAAGATTTGTTAACATGTTGAAAAACAAAATTGGCTCTTTTAAATCGAAAATAATTTTTTCTGTGCCTTTAAAAAGTAAAACATGATTGGTAGTTGCAAAATGATGTCTTCCCTGGGTAGGGGTATTGAATACTAAATATTGTATATCAACAGTATTGATTGGCCAGCTTTTTCAGAGGAAGAAAAGGCCAAATCAAGAGATGAGATACATCTAAGATGTATATTCACCAAAAGTTGGTTCAACCGCAAGCAGCCCAGTAGTGGGGATGGGTATTTAATGGTAGGATATTCCATTTGGTGGTTTGTTCTGAAAGGTCTAACAGGAAGTAGAACAGCAAATCTCAGTGGCTGCAAGTTTGAGAGTAGGCAGTCTTCAGGTAGACCAGGTCAGAACAGAGGGAAGATAAGGGCAAAGCAGGCCTCCCATTTCAGAGGAAGAATAGATGATCCATAAAGGAACTCAGATACAAGAGATTAGATTGGCATCCAGCCATTGCAGTGGACACAAGATGCATTATCTACAACAAGAGAGAATCTAGAGTAGAAATGAGAGCAGATTGAGAGGCTGTCGTGCACTAGTGGAGATTCCAGGACTTCCTGTGGCTGGGGGAAGGTGGTGGAATACAGGAACAGAGAATAAGAGAAACCATTTCATTCGTTACCTTGCTCTACCTTTCACCTTGTAGAACTGCAGTTTCTGCAATTGCTGTTCCAACAATCATGGCTAAACCACTTGTTAATCTACTGGACATTTCCATTGTCTTCCAGCCTTTCTGTAGTAAGGTAGGGCTTTTATAAATAGACATACACTCAGATATCCTCATTCTGGGTTAATAATTTTCTCTAAGAATTGTCTTCTGTAACTCCAGTACTTCTCCAGCTTAACCTAACTCACCATAGAACCATTTGTCCTTTTTTGCAAGAGAAAGAAATAGTAGCTACAAATCTACACCTGTCACTGTCCCATGTGGCAAGTTTATTGCAGCTTGTTGTTATTCACTTGCTAAGTCCTGTCTGACTCTCTGTGACCCCATGGACTACAGCACGCCAGGCTCCTCTGTCCTCCAGTGTCCCCTCAAGTTTGCTCAAATTCATGTCCATTGAATTGATGCTATATAACCATCTCATCCTCTGTGGCCCCCTTTTCCTTTTGTCTTCAATCTTTCCCAGCATCAGTGTCTTTTCCAATGAGTCAACACTTTGCATCATGTGGCCAAAGTATTGGAGCTTCAGCATCAGTCCTTCCAATGAGTATTCAGGATTTATTTCCTTTAGGATTGACTGGTTTGATCTCCTTGCAGTCCAAGGGACTCTCAAGACTCTTCTCTAGCATCACAGTTTGAAAGCATCAGTTCTTCAACACTGAGCCTTCATTATGGTACAACTTTCAAATCTGTATGTGACTACCAGAAAAACCATAGTTTTTACCATACGGACCTTTGTTGGCAAAATGATGTCTCTGCTTTTCAATATACTGTCTAAGTTTGTCATAGCTTTCCTTTCAAGGAGCAAGAGTGTTTTAATTTTATGGCTGCAGTCACCATCTGCAGTGATTTTTTTTTTTTTTAATTGGAGCTATAGTAGCTCAAACAGTAGATGTCATTGTTCCCCAGGTGCTTATTAGAGATTACCTGCCCTGTTGAAGTGATTAAGGAGATGAAAGAAAGGGACAGTCTATGCCAAACCCTTAGTGAGATTGCTACAAAATAAACACAGACCTGTACACTAAAGGTACAGAACATGCTTGGCAAAGATGCCCATACCCTGACTTCTTTCCTAATCTAGGCTGGAATCCCAGAAAAGGAGCTCTTACCTCAACTGCTCAGATTAGTGTGAAAGCAACTTGGAACAGGTGTTCTCTGGGCCACATGCAGTCTGTTGTTTGAATTCTTTTGGTAATGTCCAGTCAAATCTGATTGGGATCTGTTGGTAGTTCTATTTATCCAAGTCTTCAGCATCCACAAGCCCAGGTTTTGATTTATCTGGTTATTTCCACTAGGAGTCGAGTTCTTGATCTCTGCTTTCTATTCCTCCTCATCTGTACCTGCTTGCATCTCCCCTTCACTGCCATCACCTTCCTTAGGGGCTGTGGTCGGGTCCTGTCTTCATCCCATCCCACCCAACTTTGACCCATGAATTCCTTCTTTTTTACAAATTCCTGGATTATGCACCTACCTAGAATCCATCTTTGCCTGTGCCTTAGCAAAATCCTGACTATATGCTTCAAAGACTGCATACCTATAACCAGTCTTATGCAGTGGGATCTAAACAGCTCACCTGGCCTCTAAAATGTTGGCTCCTCACTTACCTAACACTTGTTTTTTAGCATCTTGATCCTCCTGTGCTCT